CACCCGACTGGGCCACACAGGCACCCCCATACACTTATTATTCTTTAGCATTATCTTAACTTAAATAACTCTGGTGCAAAATTGAACTAACTGAACTAGTAACTTCATTTACTATATCCAGTCACATCCAGAAGTACATCAAGATTCTGTGGGATAAGGAAGAAAGGTGGTGGAGGGGGGAAATGGAGTTACCTGATTGCCAACTAGTATTCAGGATAGACATTACATATTTTTAACACTTAATCTCACAAGTACAGAACCTAAAGAATTAAATATTTGCAAATGTATATTTATACATTCACAAAGAATTGTTTTAGAAATTATGTACTTATGTATACAAACTGAAGTATCAACTTTTCTCTTTCTTAATAATTTCCACAGAGGTCTTTCTTGACTTCATCTTTAAAATATACTCATTGTGTACATTTATTTTTGGTAGTAATTCAAAGCTCTTGATTGCTGTAGTTTTTCTTGACTCTTTCAAAAGGCAGTGAATGAAATCATTGATACTAATTACATATATGAAGAAAAGATTTATTTTTACTAAATCAGATATGTGAACTACTTAAATATATGCTTTGCATATTTTTATAAGTTTAATCCTCATAACAGCATTATAATTTTATTAGCTTTACACTAAAAAAACTAAACTAAGCAAAAAAAATCTCAAAGGTTGCTAAAGAACAATTAGGCACTGTATGATGGCTTTGTAAAGCGTCAGCTTTACTAGGCTGAACTGCATTTCCCCAAATGCCTTTTCTTGTATGTTTCCATCTATGGGAGGTTTTTGTGGAAGACAGAAGTGAAGTGGCAGCTATTTAGTAGCTCACACACATTGTCACTTACCTGCTGGCTCATCATTTTGGCTGGAGGTATTCGCAAAGTCTTCCTCTGGATTCTCCTTCTGTTCTCTGACCCCAGCTATAGATTCAGCTCCAAGAGGAAGGTCCTGGTTCCTACAAGACAGCCATACCATCAAGGTCAGAGGCAACAAGAATCCGTATGGATTTTCACTCATAGTCGTGGACTCTGGCTTGTGTTTGGAGGTCCAGATTCTTCTAGTTCTACTTCTCTGATAGAATCCTAATACAAGTACAAAATGATCAAAGAGTAGATGACAATCCCTGTGCCACAACGGTGCTTACTTGGTGAATATAAGCTCAGGATTTGGCCAATGTTTGAACCTGGTATTTTGTAACACAACTATTCCGTCTCTTTTCGCTGCCAACACAGTGCTTAATATATTAAAGTACTTTGAGAAGTTGTGGGGTATTATACAAATTTAGGTGTTTATTGCTATTACTAGTATCAACATTATTATTAAATTTTGCCTGCTGAATAGGCAAAGCATGCTTTCAAATACAAACTTTATTAGAGGTATACTAATACTAAATGTTAAAATTTGGTTACAGATGATACAGGTTTCCATTTTTATTGGACCTTGAAATCCTCTCAAAGGCATTAGGTTGTTTAATTACTGAGCTAAGAAACAGCTGAAAAAGTCAAGAAGTCAAACAATCTTTTAATTGAACCCACTGGTTCAACACAGAATCTCAATGTACTTAGTCCCTTTTACTGTTGACATCTGTTATACAGCTACCAGCTACCAGCTATTGCCGTCATTTCTGCCATAATTGAACACAATGAATATATAGAGATAGAGATACACAGTTGACCCTTGAACAACATGGGTTTGAACTGTGTGGGTCCACTTATACACAGATTTTTTTTTTCACTAAAGTAAAGCGCTCTAAATATATTTACCTTATGAATTTCTTAACATCTTCCTTTCTCTAGCTTACTTTATTGTAAGAACACACTATATAATACGTGTAACATACAAAATATGTGTCGATCAACTGTTATTGGTAAGCTGGCAGAAAGTAGGCTACCAGCAGTTAAATTCTGTGGGGGAAGTGGGTTAAAAGTTACACACAAATTTTAGACTTAGAGTGATGTCAGTGCCCCTAACCCCTGTATTTTTCATGGTCAACTGTACATTACATGTGTAACAAATAAATACATATACTTTAGAAAATGAAAGGTTTCCCACTGATGGAAGAAGTCAGAAATCACCAAATAGAGAATGATATAATAAATCCCAAAGTGCTGGATTAGATCTGGAGTTATCAGTTATTTGGAGTTATTAGTTATTTTGAGTTTGGTGTGATTTCACACCTTTTAGAAATATGTGTGTATATAAAAGAAATATAGAAGTGTGAAGCATTTCCTGTCTGTATCCAACGAGAGAACCTAGAGCAGTGATACTGAGGTAGCACTAGTACAACTAGTGAACCAGTGCACAGACCTTAGTTTCTAAATACAATCCCCCAATTAAAGGGACCAGGGACTCTTGGAAGCAGTTGATTCTAAGGCAAAGATAAAGAAAATAAACATAAACCAGGAGTATCTTAATATTGCCAAGAGATAAAGAACTGATAAAAGAAGAGGACAAACGGGGCGCCTGGGTGGCGCAGTCGGTTAAGCGTCCGGCTTCAGCCAGGTCACGATCTCGCGGTCCGTGAGTTCGAGCCCCGCGTCAGGCTCTGGGCTGATGGCTCGGAGCCTGGAGCCTGTTTCCGATTCTGTGTCTCCCTCTCTCTCTGCCCCTCCCCCATTCATGCTCTGTCTCTCTCTGTCCCAAAAATAAATAAACGTTGAAGAAGAGGACAATGATGACAGCATGTCAAAGGGATACAGAAGCCAATATGAAAGAGCTCTCAGTGGCCAAATCTAAAACATTTGAGAAACAAGAATTGATAGTTTTGTATAATAACCCAGAGATTAAAGCAAATATTGATGGGTCCATGGCAGTATAAATAAAACTCTTCATTAAATTTTCTATTTTATAAATGTAATGAAGAAAGACCAGAACCCCACAGTAATAATTGTTCAACATTAGTGAATAAAATTACAAAGAGAAATAGAATTTTGTATAACCTCAAATGATTTTCCCTCAACATTAGTGAATAAAATTACAAAGAGAAATAGAATTTTGTATAACCTCAAATGATTTTCCCTCTTATACTGCTTAATTACCGGAGGTAAAATTGTAACTATACAGTTGGAGAAACTAGGTAGACATCACCTTAACCAAAAGATCAAAGTTAATATCAGCATAACAAGCATACTGACATCATGCAACTGTTGATCTGATCCATTCATATTAGCAGGGGCCATCTCTTCTATTTTTTTACCAAAATTCAAAACTTCAACATAATCATGAGAAAACATCAGCCAGACATCAGACTCAAACTGAATGACATTCTATAAAATACTTTCAAAAGTGTCAAATGCTCTTCAGAAATGTCAATGTAATGAAAGACAAAAGACAGAAACTGTCACAAACCAGAGGCAACTAAGAGAGGACAGCTAACTGCAAGGTAGGGTTCTGGATTAGATCTTGGAATAAAAAAAATAAAGGAAAGATAGCAAAATCCAAATAAATTTTGTATTTTAGTTAATAGTATTTTACCAGTGTTTATAGTATCACCCCACTTATCTTAATTTTGAGAACAGTACCATGACTATGATGTTAACTCTGAAGGTGGGTAACGAGTATCCAAGAACTTTAATTTATTTTAGGGCAGAATTGATATGAGGTTAAGAAAACACTGGCACTGATGCTGGCATTGATATTTGGTAAAATGAGGTGTTGAATTTTGAAGCTGTCTTCAGTCTTGATTAGAAATCAGAACAACAAGGGAGCCTAGGCAGCTCAGTCGGTTAAGAGTCTGACTTCAGCTGAGGTCATGATATCGTGGTTTGGGAGTTCAAGCCTCATGTCGGGCTCTGTGCTGACAGCTCAGAGCCTGGAACCTGCTTCAGATTCTGTGTCTCCCTCTCTGTCTCCCATGATCACGCTGTCTCTCTCTCAAAAATAAATAAATATTTTAAAAAATCAGAATAACAAAAGTGCTCCTAAAAATTATGTGGAATCTGATCCTCACACTGTGCTGTACTTAGTCATGCAGCTATCATTGAGCATATAAATGATTCAGTCAGAAAGAGTTAACACTATTAGAATATACATTTTTTTTCAAATATTAAAGCAGTTTTAAGCTATTAACATTACACAAATTACATGTGGTCTTCAGAACCATTTATTTATAAATATTACCCAAAAACTATGTATTAAAATATAAGTATGAATCTAATGTTATGCTTTCATCTATGATCTACCTTGTTCTATCAGGATTTAAAGTAGATATGCCCTAATAAACCTATTAGTAATAATGGGCCAGAAAAATTATTTTTCATAATTTTCCCATAGATCTGGGAAAACTTCTTAGATAAGGGAGAGGCAAAAATTGAACTATCTATAGAGGTATTAATAACTGACAAATCAGCTAATTTGGGTCATAAGCTAACAATTGTAAGGAATATTACAGGAAATCATTTAGTAGATACAAGCAGCCATTTAAATTTTGCAAAAGAATGAATTTATCATTTTAGATCAGATGGTTTTGATTCCAATTATACTGATATATTAGTACTATATAAAACCTGAGAAGACCATAGCCAGACCAATCATTTCACTTTTTAAAAACATTTTTTTAATGTTTTATTTTTGACAGAAAAAGCAAGCGAGCACACACACATGAGTGGGGGAGGGGCAGAGAGAGGGAGACAGAATCCAAAGCAGGTTCCAGGCTCCGAGCTGTCAGCACAGAGCCCCACACAGGGCTCGAACTCACCGACCACGAGATCATGACCTGAGCCAAAGTTGGATGCTCAACTGAGCCACCCAGGTGCCCCCCATCATTTCACTCTTTGAGTGAAGAAACTAAAGCCATTTATGGGTTCTCTATTAAAATACTGAACTTCACTTCTGCACAACAGATTTGCTGCCAGAATTCAGGTGTTGTGAAAACCACCACTAAACCTAAACCTAAACCAAAATGGGAAAAGACTCGTGTCAACATCATCGTCATTGGACACATTGATTCTCCAACTCTACTACCACAGGTCATGTGATCTACAAATGTCGTAGAATCAACAAACTATCAAAAAATTTGAGAAGGAGGCTGCTGAGATGGGGAAGGGCTCCTTTAGGTATGCCTGGGTCTTGGATAAACTGAAAGCTGAACATGACCGTGGTATCACCATTGCTATTTTCCTGTGGAAATTTGAGATCAGCAAATGTATCACTGATGCCCCAGAACACAGAGACTTTATCAAAACATGATTATAGACACATCTCAGGCTGGCTCTGCTATTCTGATTGTTGCTGATCATGTTGGCGAATCTAAAGCAGGTCAGATCTGTGAACATGCCCTTTTGCCTTATGCACTGGGTCAGAAACAACTAATTGTTGGTGTTAACAAAATGGCTTCTACTGGGCTATTCTATAGCCAGAAGAGATACAAGGAAATCATTAAGGAAGCCATCACCTACATTAAAATAACTGGTGGGGTGCCTGGTGGGTCAGTCAGTTAAGCGTCTGACTCTGGATTTCTGCTCAGGTCATGCTATCGTGGTTCATGGAATCGAGTCCCATGTCAGGCTCTGCACTGGCAACAAGGAGTCTGCTTGGGACTCTCTATTTCCCTCTCTCTCTGCCCCTCCTCTTCTAATATAAATAAACATTTTTTAAAAAAAGAAAGAAACTTGGCTACCACCATGACACAGCAGCATTTTTGTCAATGTCTGGTTGGAATGGAGACAACATGCTGGAGCCAAGTGCTAATATACCTTGGTTAAAGGTATATTTATCCATCCATAAAGATGGTAATACCAGTGGAACCACACTGCTTGAAGCTCTGAATTGCATTCTACCTTCAACTCATCCCACTGAAAAGCCCTGTGTCTGCCCCTCCAGGATGTCTACAAAATTGTTGGTATTGATACTGTCTCTGTGGGCAGAGTGGAGACTGTTGTTCCTAAACCCAGCATGGTGGTCATCTTTGTTCCAATGTTACAACTGAAGTAAAGTCTGTTGAAATGCACATGAAGCTCTGAGGGAGGCTCTTCCCAGGAACAATGTGGGCTTCAACATCAAGGACATAACTGTCAAGGATGTTTGTCATGGCAATGTGGCTGGTGACAACAAAAATGAGCCACCACCAATGCAAGGAGCTGGCATTACAGCTCAGGTGATTATCCTGAACCATCCAGGCCAACTCAGTACTGGATACCCACCTATGCTGAACTGTTGCACAGCTCACATTGGATTGATCATTGTTCTAGAAAAAAGCTGGAAAATGGCCCCCCAACTTCTTGAAATCTGTTGATACTGCCATAATTGATATGGTTCCTGGCAAGCCTATGTGTGTTGAGAGCTTCTCTATCCTCCTCTGGGGTATTTTGCTGTTTGTGACATGAGACAGATAGTTTCTGAGGGTGTCATAAAAGCACTGAAAGAGAAGGCAACTGGAGCTGGCGAGGTCACCAAGTTTTCCCAAAAAGCTCGGAAGGTTAAATGAATACTATCCCCAATATCTGTCACTCATCATTTTTTTTTTATTTCTCTTTTTGAGAAAGAGCAAGCAGGGAAGAGGGGCAGAGAGACAGAGAAAGAATCCCAAGCAGGCTCCCTGCTCACTGCAGAGCCAGACGAGGGGTTTGATTCCACAACCTTGGGATCACTACCCAAACCAAAATCAAGAGTCAGACACTCAACTGAGTAAGCCACTCAGGCTCCCCACCAGTCTTCATCACCGGTGGAAGAATGGTCTCAGAACTGTTTGTGTTACTTGACCATTTAAGTTTAATAGTAAAAGACTGGTTAAATATAACAATAAAACATTCCGAAGTAAAGGAGATAAAATAAGTACTTCTTTTGTAGTTTCAAGTTATTTAAATTCCAGTTACCATATATATTGTAATTTAGTTTCAGAAGTAGAATTTGTTAATTCATCGCTTACATACAACACCTCACAACAAATGCCCTCCTTAATACACATCACTCCTTTAAACCATCCCCCACCCACCACCCCTCCAGCAATCTTCAGTTTGCTCTCTATAGATAAAAGTCCATCATATGGTTTGCCTTTCTTTTTTTCCCCCTATATTCATCTGTTTCATTTCTTAAATTCCACATATGAATGAAATTTTGGTCCAGTTGTTTCAATTTAAAAGTACTGATTTTAGTCAAAACTTGACCAAAAATCCATCACAGAATTTTGAGATCCATTAAAACAAAAGTTTAATGAGAAGAAAAAGAATACTAAGCACCATGTTGGTCTTCAACTGATTAATTTTTCATCACGTATGGAAAAAAAATATCTAATTCTGTGTGAAAACATTCAAAAATAAGCAAATACGATGTCCCAATCATAATTTTATGAACATATCTGCCAGTCTTCCTTTTATGTTTTCTCTGTCTTTACCAACTAGCCTCTATGCTATCTATTCCCCAAAATACATGTGTTCTACTTTAAGTCTGTTTGCTCTGTTTCGCCTACCTAGAAAAATTTCTCATTTTTCTTTTCCTAATGTATGCATTTCCATTCCTTCTTTAAGAACCAGTTAAAGTAACACCTATTCTAAAAGAATTCCCCAGCAAGAATTAATTGCTCTCTTCCCTGTACTCTCTATAACACTCTTTTTCTCTAACTACACTCATTCATTAGCCCATCTATCCATTTTTCAACAAATATATATGTTGAACTATGTATATGTAGAACTATGTGTTAGTTCTAAGAATTGGATGTACATTGATAAAAAGAAAAAGCACACATGGTTCCCAGATCGAAAACACAGTAATAGCAGAACATTTAAATGTAAGTGTGTGGGTTTTTTTCTAGGCATATAGATTAACAGATGATGGATAGGCATAAGCATTTATGATATGTAAGTGTAATATGTAATTTTTACCTACGATCTCTGAGTTACTATATTTCCTATATTGGAATCATTACTATCATTCTATGAGCATCATGCGAAACAATAAAGCAGATTGTATTTTTTTTTTTTCTAAAACCACTATGTCATCCTAGGAGTTAAAAAACATCATACCACAGAAGTAATAAAGAAATTAAAGACAAACTTGTATGTTTACAATTATCACAAAACAAAATACAAAAAGGCAAATATTTCTAGTTGGTCTACCTAGAATGAATCAGTCATGTTTCCTACACATTTAAAACTTTGCTAATAAACTGCTGTATAGAATCATAGTGGTATGTTATATGCACCCATTTTAATCTTGAATTTTCACACATTTTTCAAGATAAGATAGTAAAATTAAAGTGAACTTCAGTGGTAATCATATCCAATTTCTTAAATGACATGCTGAAAAACAAATGTTTTAACCACTGAAAAATGTGTTAGCCCCTACAGGAAAATGTAATTAAGTTTTACAGATGGTTAATTAAAAATATGAGGCAATTATGGTGCAAAGCTTTCTGTATGTGTCCTTTCTTTCAATTCAATATAGCAATACTAAAACAAAAATAGCAAAGAGACTGTCCCAGCCCATGTCTCTAATTCCAGTGCTCACAATAATGCCATAATAATGTACATAATACCCCAATAGGAGTTTGGTGAATTGACTTATATTTTACAAAGAATAATGCAACCCAGATAACCTAGACATTAAGCAATAGAAGTGGAATTCTGGGGCACCTGGGTGGCTAGGTCGGTTAAGCATCCGACTTAGCTCAGGTCGTGATCTCATGGTTTGTGGGTTCAAGCCCTGCATTGGGCTCTGTGCTGACAGCTCAGAGACTGGAGTTTGTTTCAGATTCTGTGTCTCCTGCTCTGCACCCCACACCCCACTCATGCTTTGTCTCCCTCTGTCTCAAAAATAAATAAACATTAAAAAAAATTTTTTTTAAAGAAGTGGAATTCTAACTTCAGCTCTGATTGAGTTCATGATATTTCCAAAGTGAGTTTATTCATTGGACTAGCCCCCCCCCCCCCCCCCCCCCAAAAGAGAGAGAGAGAGAGAGAGAGAGAGAGAGAGAGAGAGAGAGAAGTACAATTAAAGTAACATTTTTTTAAAGTAACATTTTTAGCAAGAAGCCCCCCCATACTGTGAGCATACGATGTGACAAATCAAATGTTTAGTGATTTGATCCCTAACAGTGGAAATATCAGGTGTCAACAATGTTCCCATTTTCTTGGAGAGTTATAGCCACTTCAAAATTTCAGAGAAAACAGAAATTTTTTCTCTAAATGGACAATAATGAAATTTTCTCTCCTGACAGAAACCCTTGGCAATTACATAACTCTAACTCAAAAACAAAACATAACAAAACAACAAAAAAAAAAAAACTAAAGGACAAAATAGCTTTCCTCTTCTTTTTACCAAAGATGATCCTTTTAAAAAGTAAACTTCATATTTCATCATAGAATAAGAAAATGAAAATAAAAAACTGGACAGCTCGCTTCATTTTATTCATGGAGAGATCATTCTATACAATACAAATTCAAAAATTAGCCATTGGAAATTTTAGGGCATTAATCACAATTTTCAAAGACAAATAGAAAAAAATGCCCATGATGCTACAGTGAGTTGGTAACAAAAATAATCTACATTCCAAGTTAACATACAATATTTTCAAATTAATATTAATTGCTTGAAAACTATAATCCAGTATACATTGAACCTTAACTGTAGATGTCACCTATTCCTTCTGGAATGTTAAAGGATGATATAGTAAAAACAGCAACACCTCTGTTTGAATGAATTAGGGAGACTAACTTTGAAATCCACCAATACCATCACTACAGATGAATTATTTGCCTCTCTGAGCTTCAATTGCTTTATCTACAAAATAAGTATAAATATTAAACAAGAAGCACGTATTACAAAATTGAAACAAGTATACTTAGACATGTATCAATGCTTAAATAAAATATTTGAGCTGTTGTAAAATCTTGGAAATATGAGAACTTGTATTTACAGATGCCTGCAAAACATTTCTCAAAATGTTGTGTATAGACTGTTGGGAATCTCTAAAACAAGTGAGTTCATGAAATTAAAACTTTTCATACTAAGGCATGGTTTGCCTTTTCTTTTTCTCTAATGCATGTGCAAAAGAGATTTCCAGAGGTTACAAGACATGTGATAATATGACTCTGGAAACTAATGGAATGTTTATTTCCATATTATATTTTGACTATCAGATTAACTAACATGATAAATACTGATAGATATATACCACACATACAAAAGTTCATGTGTTCTT